GTCGCTTGAAGTGGGGACCTGTGACTGCTGTCACCTCTGCCTGGTGGTGTCACCAATCCCATAGGAACCCTTGAAGGAGAGGTGACCCCAGCCCACACAGCTCTGCCTTCATTTTCCCCTGGGAATGGCAGGGCTGGTCTGCTGTTTGGGAAGCAGGTTCATGGGCATTCGCCCCTGGCAGGAGATGGACACCCATCTCCACAGCATTGGTGACTGCAGAAGCGGGCGCTGGCCTGACGTGTCAGTGGGGCTGGTCACCGGGCTTTGGAGGAGGCTGGAGGTAGATGGCCACTGTGGGTAGCCGCCTCCCCGACCGTAATTAAGGCCAGTTAAGCTGAGACATTCAGCTCCTGGGGACCAAAGGAAACCACTCAGGCCCCTGGGCACGCATGAGTCACCAAAGACTTTGGAAGTTGGGAGAGATGTCTGATGACGTCCCCGAGGCCCACTGTGTCCCCACAGTGCCTGGAACTCAACAAGCAGGATGCGGCATGAGCGAATGGCTGGCCTTGTGAGGGGGCCACACACAGGGCCAGGAGGCTGAGCCACCGACGGAGTCTCCGACTCAAGATGGAAATGTGGTTTTAAAACAAATGACATGGCTGTCACTCCCTTCTCCTGGAAGCAGACTGCATTACTGCTGAAAGAGATGCTGCGAAACAGATTGCTTCCAAACTATGCACTGCKGTCTGATTCGCTCGTCTCTTGCTCAGTCCCCCGACAGCCAAACATCTGTGCACAGCTTCTCCAAACAGCTGGCTCTGGCTCTGATGGAGCCAGCTGTTCCCCGGGTTGCATATCCCCGGGGTTAGTGGGCCGAGTTGGCTGGGAGCTGTTCTAGGACACCGGCTCTGTCCTCGGTGTCCTACTGCTACAAGGGGAGATGCAATCAGGCCGTGGCCACGGTGCCAAATGGTGAGCCTGCAGTCATCGCCGGGTGAAGGTGGCTGTACTCCTCCGACCCACAGGAGCTCTGCCTCCGTCGTCTCCTGCGATAGCCACAAACCCACGAGGAACCGGGGGAGGCGTCCATCACTGAGAGCAGCTGGAGGGCTGGCCGGAGCTCACAGTTCTTTTGTGGCCCTGGTCCTGGGGTGGAGCCACCAGCCCCCACTTCTCCCTAGAAACCGCTTGGTCCCCATGGGCTCAGCCTTCGGGACCCGTCCAGGGGACATCTGAAGCTCCCGCTGCTCCTACTTCCTCTGCAGGCACCTGCAGGGCGGCTTCTTGGCCTCCATRTCTGTTGTAGCACCTGCCGCGAGACCCAATCATGCTCAGCCAGGGATTTGTTTTTGGGCTTCCCTCCTCTCCTCAGACTCAGAGTTCCCCTGGGGACAGGCTTCCTCTGTCTTGGGAGCTCCCTGGACTGGCACCTGGYGGGCCCTGCCAGGCTGCTCCCCTCCGGCACCACTGAGAGAAACTGCCCAGGTGGCAGGTGGGCCCAGGGCAGGACCCGCCTCACTCGGTTCTTGTCTCTTGTGGCCTAATGTCCTCTTCTGTGAGGACCCTTGTTTTGCGTATCTGGTCTTTGGCAGGTTTGTGTTTCGGGTGGGTGGAAGCAGCAGCAGGGGCTCTTTGGTGTGTGTGTGACCTAGGACTGAGCCCCGAGGCACTCTACCACCAAGCTCCACCCCAGCCCTTCTGGTTTTTTATTTTGAGTCAGGGCCTTGTCAAGTTGCCCAGGCCGGCTGCAGACTTGCCATCCTCCTGCCTCAGCCTCCCAAGTCGCTGGGATTACAGGCGTGCGACTGCACCCAGCTAGAAGTCCCAGAGCTTTTAATGATACGTTTCCTAAGAACACGGCTCCTCTGATGAATTCAAAACGAGCCTAGATCTTTCTAAACTGCCCTCTCTGGTGGCCRTCTAGTCTCACCATCCCTCTAGGCCACAGGAATGTTTCCTGAAGACAGCAGGCAAAGCCTTGCCGAGACTCGGAAAGGGTGTGGCGACCTCTGAGACACCGGGACACCTCCTGCCTTTCCGTCATGTGCAGAGAGAGTGACAAGAGGAGGCAGGAGCTCGGCATTCTTGACAGTCTGACTGCGTTGGCCTCCCCTGTCTCTCCCTGTCTCTCAGGAGCCATCTCTCCTGCCCCTGAGCCACCCTCCCTGCAGCCACAGATGACCTCACCTGGCAGGTTAGCCATCTGTGTGTGCCTCTTCTTTTGGAGACTGCTGGCTCCTGAGCAAGAGGATCAGGTCTCAGTCAGCTTCGTAGTGACTCACGGGGTAGCTGGCACCGGGCCTAGGGAGGGCGCGGGTTCCGTGTGATTCATCTTGAGAGCCCCAGCTCCCCGCACAGTGTGGAGCAGCAGGCGTGCTCCGTGCGTATCTGGTGGGTGAATGAACGAATGAGCACATTCAGGTCACTGTCCTCTCAGGTACAAACCRTCAGCTACCCACACGATGAGCTGCCTTGTCATCTCTGGAGAGAGGTACTGGCCACATCCAGCACAGGGAAATTGAGGCGGGGGCAGGCCTGGCGGGTAGCCCAAAGATTGAGGTCTCTAGCCTGGCCCCTGGGAAAGCTGCTTCTTCTGCATGCTGGAGGGGAGCACTCAGCTAGAGCTTACTGCTGTCAGGATCCATTGTGTTTTGAAAAGTGACCATACAAAGGACATTCCCACCCCGTTCATGGTTATGCAGGGGAAGGAGGAGCTGTGGAATCGAGTGATTCCAAGTGAGGCTCCTCGAGCTGATGGAATTTCTCGGCCTGTTGGCATCTTTCAAGGGACAGTTCTACCTTGGGCATTAAGACCTCATTCACTGTCATGAGTGCCCATAGCTGCTGGGATTGTGACCACCAAAGACACAAATCTCCAAGTGCTACTGTTCGGGGAAACAACCCCTGGCCCAGAAACCAGAACCGAATCCTTGTCAGTGAGAACAGGGGGTCAGGCATTGGCGTGTGGGCCCCGTGGGGACAGGCAGCCTTGCGTGATCTGATGGTGTGTCTGATCCCCACGGGGCCTGGATCTCTGTCTGGTCACCCTGGGAAGACTAGCCCAAGTCAGGGACAACTCAACTGAGGAACTGGGAGGAAGGATTTGGGGTTTGATATTTCAAAAAAGAAAAGACATCGAGCAAGTTCCTCAAGAGGTAAGTGGGAGTTCTTTGGGCCGCCCTCCCCTGACTTGAGTTTATTCTGACTTTGGATCCTGTACCTTCTCAGTGTTGGCCTGATCCTGCCCTGGCTGGGGCAGCCCGGTGGCATTCTTGTTTCATGGGAAGCACAGCTGATTCTACGTGGGATCTGAGGTCCAACCCCAGGACCTTGCATTTGCTAATGGTGTTTTAGCACCAACCCCCTGGGAAGTGCATAATAGCTTCCTGGATCTCTTAATCCAGCTGCTGCTAATTCAGTCACAACTTCGTCACCACCGTGTCTCCATCTCCTCTGCATCTTCCATGGTTCTACCCAGGAGAGAACAAAAGTGGGGGCATTGGGGAAAAGCAGCTTGCAGTTCCTTATCAGGCCAATCTGCACAGACCCCAGGACCCGGCAGCCCCACCCCGAGCGTTTACCCAAGGGAAATATGAAAATATGTCTCCACAAAGGCTCACAGGCACGACTTTCGGCAGCTCAAAAACCTGGGAATAGCCTAGGTGTCCATCCACAGGGACACGGTAAACAAATGGTAGCATACATGGCGGAGTTCTGCTCAGCTACAGAGAGGAAGGAATACTCGAGTGTGCAACCTGCAGACGAGTCTCCACCACTCTGCTGGATAAAGGAAAAACAAGAGAACGTTGGCGATTCTGTTTATGTGAATGTCAGGAACAAGCAAATCTAATCTATGATTTTAGAAATCAGAATAGCCATTGCCCTCAGGGTGGGGACCGGCTAGAAAGAGGTACTTTCTAGGGTGTGGGAAGTTCTGTGTTGTGATGGGCTGTGGCCTCTGCAGGTGGACACCTTTGTCAAAGCTGTCAGGGGTGCACTTGAGGTGGAGCTAACCCCTGGATCAGAATGACAAGACYGTCTGCCTGTCCTTAGGAGGGTGCCCCCTTGTCCCCCAGGTCCTGGGGCTGTCCTCAAGCCACCTATTCTTGAATGGACAGAGGCTGGGCATATCCCATTCTTTTGGGTATATTCTTGTATCTTGAAGACCTGCCCAAGGCTGGCACTGTCTGTCTGTCCGCCATTCATCCTTCTTCCTGTCTTCCTCTYTCTTTTCTACCTTCCCTCCCTTTCCTTCTCCTTCTTCCCCCACCCAGCCCTCCTGCCGTCCCCAGCACGGCTTTCCAGTTGTGCCAGGTCTTTCCAGGACCTCGCTCTGGGTCCAGGCTCTGGGATGAAGCTCTGCGGTGTCTTTGCTTTCTCAGAGGGACCTGAGCCTGCCTCTTGACACCACCTGTGCTTCAGAGGCACCCGACACAGCCCATATGGAGGGGGTGCAGATTCACCCCAAAGACTTCATGGGTGGATAACAATGAGAGGGCCTCATGGCACCCAGTGCCAGGTGCTTTGTCGATGACACTTTTCCACATTCTGGCCACCCCCATACAGACTGCGATGACCACAGGTGTCCCCACTAGGCCAGACCCACGACTGCACAGAGCCAGCCTCTTGCAACAATTAGCTTAAGAAACTGACCTCACCGCCTCCTTTTCTCTCTCCTCCCCTGGAGTCCCCTGTGAGCCGCTCCCCACCCCCACCTGTAGCGGAACCGGATTTAATGCCTCAACTGAGAGAATGAGATGTTCTGTTATTTTTCATGGGAAATTAAACCTGACCCGGCTGTCAGTTAGCTCATGCCAAGGGAGGATGGATGGCCCGGGCGCGGCACTTAACCCCTGCTCTGTGCACGCCAGGGCTGGGATGGAGGCACGGGGGAGGGGCTGGCTGGGAGCCAGGCATGACGTCACCCGCTGCAGGCTGGGGGTGGGGCTGCAGGAGAGGTCAGAGGGCCTTCCTGGGGGTAATGATGTCCAGGAGGTCCATGCCAGTGGCACCCTCTGATGCTCCCCCCGAGACTCAGCTGCTCCTGTGTCTTCCAGTTCCCAACTCTACCTCGTGCCCCGATGAGGAGAGCTGGTGGTCCGGGCTGGTGATCATCGTGGCCGTCGGCTGTGCCGCCCTGGTGTTCCTGACCGTGCTCGTCATCATTTGCTACAAAGCCATAAAAAGGTGAGTGTCACTGTGCCCAGTCCCTGGGGGGAAACAGCTGGGCTCCGGGCTCCTCCACCCACCCTCCAGCACTTTTTAAAATCATAGCAATTGCTGAGCCCTTAAGAAGCAGAAAGACTGTACAGCGAACTTCCCTCTGCCCTCGCCCTCATCCCGCAGTTTCCAAGGTTTTGCTGTATTTGCTGCATCTATTTCCTCTTTCTTCTTCTTTCTTTCTGGTTGCTGGAATATTTTAAAGTAAACCTCAGTCACGATGCCCCATTTTTTTTAGGGAGTTTGATTCCACGAGCGTTTGACGTGCACCAGTTGTGTGTCAGGCCCGGCGCAACCCAAAAGAACAAAAAATATTGCCAAACACCAAAGGGTAATGGGAGTTGTTAATAATACGGCGAATCTAAGAAAGTGTTTTTAATTCCTTGCCGTCCCTGTGAAGAATGATCATAACACCTAAAACGTTTCATTTACCTCTTTTAATCTGTTGGCCTATGCGACCTCACCTCAATAATTCAAAAGCAGAGACCAACATCATCAAGTTGAAAGTCTTAAAATGAATCATGGTCAAGCATCCAGGAAGGGGGCCAACAGTGTCCCGGCAAGTGAGCGGAAGAGGCCAGACCCAGCAGCAGGACCCAGCGTGGCTGCTGCAAGCAGCACAGGCCATGCCCTGGGCATGGACCTCCCAGCCCAGGACCCCCCTTCTCCAGTGCCCATGCTGCAGGGCAGTCTCTAAAACGACAGTCAATACCCAGGGAATAACTGTGGTCAACTCCTCGCCAGGCACCGGGTTCACCCCCTCACCCACACTCTTGGCTCCTCTTTGCCTCATCTCTTTCCAAACAGCCCCATTTGCAGATGAGGAAACTTCGGGCCAGAGGAGTTAGGGAGCTGCCCAGGATGGTACAACCGGGGAGCAGTCAAGTCAGAATTTAAGCCCAGAACCATGTGACTCCAGAGCCCAGCCCTGGCCATGGCACCACTTTACCAGGACGTTTGACTCCAGTGTTGGGCGAGAACCGGCCTGGATGCTCTTGCTCAGGGGTGCGGAAAAGGGGGGCCTGTGGGTGTGGCAGGGCGAGTCTGCAGCACTGGGAAGGACAGACAGACAGAGCTCGCACTAGTAGTGCTGCCCTGCCTTAGCTGAGCTGGGCTCTGAGAGGGCTAGGGGATGACCAGGGAAGGAGCATGAAGGGAAGGCTCCCTCCAGGGGCTGTGGCAGCTTTGCCCAGGGACAGGGCAGGTCCAGGGAGCAAACGGGGCTGACGAAGCCAGAGCAGCCGTGGGGCAGTAGCTCCCCAGCACAGCAGCCAAGGGAACGGAGACTTAGCCCCAGGGAGGGTCTGCCCAGCAGGATGGCGGAGACACACAGGAAGGGGAGGACATGTCCCCCAGCATCTCTGTGCCTCTCAGGTCTCCCGGGGGTCCTCCAGCGGCCAAACCCAAGATGCCGAGGAATTGGAGAGATGCAGTCTGAGATCAGCCTCCCGGGGTGCCAAGCAGGGAGAGAGTGAAATGGGCAGCTGGGGGCACCTGGAGACAGCCCACACCATGATGCCCCTCCACCTCTTGGCCAAGATTGGGACACGGGGAATAAGACCCAGCCTCTGCCTTCAGGTTGTCCCTAATCCAGAGACAGTGTCCTTGAAACACAATACCTGGTGCCAGGAGGGGGCCGTGCACACTGCAGACAGAGGAAGAGACCACTGCCAGAGCCCGGGGGGCCTGCCCTGGGGGGCTGTAGAGAGCCTGGTGCTAGCCAGGTCTGTCTGCACTTCTCCCCAGAGCAGACGGAGGGTTTCTGCTCTCGGCCATTTCTTTTTGGTCAATAATTCATCTGAAACATGCCTTTCCTCCCAAGAAACAGGAACAGCCCGTGTCACTGTGAAAGGAAAATTCAGTGAGAAGCCCCACGTTTCTGAGCTCTCGCGGCCTCCAGTCCCAGGGGAGATTCCCATCTCAGGAACGCCCCCCCCCCTCCAGCCTTTCAGAGCCAGGTTGCAGGAGGATGGTTCTAGAATCCGCTGGGGTAGGAAGGAGGCGATCTGGGAGTTGCCAGGTTGAGCATCTGGGGTCAAGAGAGTCGGGAGGCCTGGTTGAAGGGGCTGGTCTTATGGGAAGTGTAGTGGTCAGCGTTCCCAGGAACCTCATCCTCCAGGGCCAGGGCAGACAGAACCTCTGAGAGTCCAGACAACCAAAGCCTCTTAGTCCACAGGGGAAGAGGAATCTTAAACCAGGGTGAGCCATCGAGTCACCAAGATGAAATTCCAAGGCACCCACTGCCCCAGCGGGAAGGCCAGGCCCCAGATCCCCACTGACCTGGGGACACTCAGCAGGGAGCTGCCCTCCAGGGGTGGCCTTGGCACCCTTTCACCCCCTGGAAGCCCCTGTGTTGAGGAGAGATRACCCCCACACACACCATGCTCCTGTGTAGAGGCACCCACACCCCGAGGACAGGCAGAGGCCTTGCCSGGGGGCCTCAGGGCCCTGGTCCTTGCTGCTGCTGTGCCTTTGCCATTGAACCTCTTGACAGCCATTTCCGTCTCGTGTTCAGGCTGCGACAGTGGGGCCGACGGGGGCCCCAGTCCTACAGACTGGACTGTGGACAGTGCAGTGGGTACGCTCGGCCTGGGCTGGAGAGCCTGCCCTCCAGCTATTACTAGATGTGCTGTTGAGCCACTTCCTGTGGAATGAGCACTTTYGAATGCTCCATGCTCCAGCCTCTTCCGTGGTGACTTGGAAAAGCCCTTGTCTGGCACAGGGCTTCTCAGAAAGTTGGTGTTGGTCCACGGGTATTGAGCATCTTCTGTAGGCCAGGGCCTAGACCAGGCTCCAGGGATGTAGAGTGAACAGGATTGAGACCCCATCCTCATCCTGCAGTGAGACAGGCAGATAACACACCCACACCCACAAACTAATCCACAAGGTGGTTTAAAAGACATCGCTATGAAGAGAAGGTGAGCGGGCAGAGAAGGAGGGGACGCAGAGGGGGTTGCTTCCACCAACCGGCAAGTCAGGCGTGTTGTGCACACTTTTTTAAAGAGCTTAATGATTCAAAAGTGTGGCTAGGGCTTTGCGCACTCATTACCACCTTTTAATTCAGTTTTTATTTTTGTCAGAGTTAATACATGCACATAATTTAAAATGTCCTGTGTGCCATAAAGTTATTAGGGAAACAACAGCCCCTGACTTCCGCTGCTCTTCCCCATCCCCATCTTGAGAGGCGGCCACTTCTGACAGCTGTTGCTGCTGTGTCTCCTCCGATGCTAAGGGATGTGCACACAGCTATTTGAGTTTTCCTCCAATTTGGAACATTATCTACTAACTTTCCACTATGGAATACCAGGGTCGGCACCCCTAACCCACAGACCCCCAAAACTCTTCCTCTCTTCCATCCTCCACGGGTGGTCTCCCAGGGTGGGGCTCAGGATATTCAGTGGTGACCTTAGTCTAACCACGTGAGCCTGCCGTTTACCACGGTTTCTTTGCTTTCCTGGGTTTCCTCTCGGTGTGCTCAGGCCCATGGTGCCAGTTTCCTCTTGGAGACTCCGTCCTTCTTTCGGGGGGCCTGGTGGCTCTCTGGGCCTGCTGCGTAGTCACTGGGCTGCGGTCCCCGCAGCAGCTTCCCAGGGCCAGCACTCCTAACAGGCTTCTGTCTGGAACTCTCCATACTTGGCTTCCCCCCACCCCGTCCCGGGGCTTCATTTCTTCATCTTGATTCTTTCAGGAACTTATTGTAAGATCGCGCCCAAATATACACTCCATAGAAAGCTCATCAGTGGAAGTAGGTTTTTTTTTTTTTCCTCCAGAATTGACATTCTTTTGGGACTTCAGGGTGGCCCAGATAGGGGTTTGTTCTTCCTTCCTGCAGAGCAGCTGCGTTGCCAGACAGGGCTGGGGATGAGTTTCCCTGGGGTCCGAACCACAGCAGCCTTGGAGAGGTCATGAGCAAATGAAAAAATGCCAGCTCTCTCTCTCCCCCGCCCAACGGCTTGTCTGAGTCCATGGCTCCGCCTGTGCTTCCTTCTTTCTAGAGGTAAAGCCGGGATCCCACTCCTCTCGCTCATCTCTCCCCGCTGTGCCTGGCACAGCCCCTGCACCAGGGGCCACTTGGTGACCATTTCTCTGGCTTGAATGGAGGCCTGTTGACACACGTGCCAGATTCCACCTTTGAATTTGACGAAGGCCATTTAGAATTCCAGCAAACTCATTTTCCCCCCTTCTCCCTGGGTGAGTGAAGGAGAATCTGTTTGGAGTAAATAGCACGTGCCCAGGGCTCAATGCCAGGCCCCGCCCTGGCACCAGGTTCGGTCTCCTCCACCCTCTGCCATCTCTGCCCTTCCCTCTGAGTCCTTCTTCAGCCTCCTCCACACTCTAGCTCAGTGTACTCAGGCCACTAGCTGAAGGGTAGGGACAGGAGACACGGAGACAGGCTGGCCCAAAGCCCCAGGGAGGCCCAGGGATTCAGGACAGGATGGAAATTCTTCGTCCACTTTCCACTCACCATGAACTTCAAGAACACCCCTGGAATGCATCTGGGGTTCCCTTGGGCTTTGCGTCTGGTCTGTCTCAGGGACAAACACTTGTGGCCAGGTGAGTGCCTGATGTCATAGCTGGGGCTAGACAGCTGTTCCCACCCGTCACGTCTCTCTGCTGTCTGTGTAGGCACCTGTAACCCCCCCCCCCCCACGCGCCCAAGTGCTGTCCCTGGTTGGAAGTCCAGGTCACCACTTCTCCCTCTGGAGTCGAGTGCACATTGGCACACTCCCCGTAGGGGCCTCTGCTGGTCAAGTGCTGGGCCTCGGGACACAGCCTCAACTGCTAAAGCCATCTACTGTCCTGGGCACCTGCTGCACTCAAGGAGCTGGCACCTGCACTTTGCTGCACCATCCAGACTTATTCMCCCCGAGGCCAGCACCGCCCCTGGGCCTTGCCCCGTCATTGGGCTGTCTGGGGTTTGGCTTCTCCCTGGTCAATGCACAGGCTCCTTTTGAGTCCGGATGCCACAGTGTCTCCCACCATCATCACCATTGTCCTGCCTCCAAGAAGGGCTTGGGCTGAGACGGGATGTGGCGGGTGTCAGGCTGCCCTGGGCGCAGGAGCTTGCGTGGACTCCTTTCCATCAGCGCTGGCTGACGTGGACCCAAACAGAGCTCTGCCTTTTTCTTTTTTCTTTCTTTCTTTTTTTTTTTCTTTTTTGGTGTGTCTGTGTGTGCCGGGGATTGAACTCAGGGGCACTTGACCACTGAGCCACACCCCCAGCCCTGTTTTGCATTTTATTTAGAGACGGGGTCTCACTGAGTGCTTAGCACCTTGCTTTTGTTGAGGCTGGCTTTGAACTCACTATCCTCCTGCCTCGGCCTCCAGAGCCGCTGGGATTACAAGTGTGTGCCACTGTGCCCAGCTCTGAAGAAGTTCACCCCTCTCTGAAGCCAGCTCCCCAGGCCCACTGGGTCAAGGTTCTGGACTAGTCATTGTTCCTGGAGCCTCAGAGAAGCAGGTTCTCAGTGTCCCAATGAGACAGGTGCCATGGGGGCCTCTCCTGCTCAGAGACCCTCCAGCCAAGGACCTTTACCCCCTCAGCCATGCTGGCACCTCAGGGKCTTGAAGGATGGTCACTGAACTCTAGCTAGTGCGGAGACCTCTGTCCAGGCTTCTGTAAGTGGCCCTTTGGTCCTTTCTCCAGCATCCTGGCTCGGAAGGACATCATCCCGAATGAATCCCAGCCACAGAGCTTAGGGGAGTTGCAAGGCAGAGCCCGTGAGAGGACCCTTGCCCAGCCAGCCACGCCCTCCACTGTCCCCTCTGAGCATGTGGCTCCCCCGAGGAGGCCTCTCAGTTGAAGCCCGGGATCTGGTCAAGACCCTCAGCTTCCACCCAGGTGTGCAGGTGCTCAGACCTGGCTCATCTGCCTGGGACGTGGTGGGGAGGTGCCCAGGCCTGGAAGTGGGACTGCTGCTCCTCACAGGGATAGCTTGGTGGCCGTGGCCGACCTCTGCCATGTGTGTGTGTGTGTGTGTGTCTGTCCTGGGCTGAGCAGTGGGGAGGTGGGTGCCTTTGGCAGGGAGAACCTGGGACCTGGAACCCCCACTTTGTTGAAAGCAAACCCTCCGGGGTGGGGTGAGACTAAGGGGAGCTGGGTAGCCACCCGAGCTGCACCCTGCCTGCAGCATCTCCAGCAGAGCCGCGGTGGAGGGTGGAAGCACCAGTCAGCCCCAGAGTGCCACCTAGGTCCTGGCACTTCCTGCCCAAGGCAGGCTCAATTTTTGCCAAGGTCGCTGGACTGTGGGCATCCAGAGTCGTCAACACAACACTCTGAGCGGAGAACACAGAGCGCCTGCTGCTCCCATGCCACAAGGGGCACGAGAGGCGGCAGGTGGGAGGGCCTGGCCTCCTGGGCACGTCCTGAGCGCGGCCAAGGAAGAGCTCACTTACCTTTCTCTTGGTTTTAGGAACCATGCCACTTAGGGAGCCCTCGGTGGCCGTCTCTGCCTGGACCAGGGTGGACATGCCTCTCCTTGGTTTGGGGGACCAGCCCTGACTGGCCCACAGAGCCCAGATCCAGGCTGGGTCCTAGCATCGCCCCATAGCCCTTCTGGATCGTCACGGGCACATGTTAGGTAGGCAGCTGTGCAGACTGGAGGACGCTGACCACTACCAGCCAGTGGAGCAGCCCCTGCTGGCACCTTCTAGCACAGAGCAAAGAGTTAACAAGCACTTATGGAGCACTTACTGTTTGCCAGATGCTCATCCAAGTGCTTGACGTGCACTAACACAATTAATCCTCCCAACCAGCCTATGAAATGGACACCATTACTGTGCTCATTTTATAGATGATGAAACTGAGGCACAGAGAGGTTGCTCAGCTTGCCCTAGATACACAGAGAGTAGCGGAGCTGTGACATCTGCCCCTAAGTGCAGCATCAATGTTACTGTTATCCCACTTCCCCTGGGTACTACTGAAGCCCAGAGGCTTTGGGAGCAGTTCTGGGTCACAGCTTGGGGAGCACAATGGCTGGGGACTTGGCTCCAGTGGCAGGAGGGGAGCATGCCACATCCACTTCTCAGGAGAGCCCTGGATGCCACCCTCTCCCCTCACTATGTGCAGGTGTCTCTGAGCCTCTCCCTCGACAGGGTTCTAGGACCCCATGCCATGAGACATCCCAGGTTAGAGGTGAATGAAAGAGCCAGGTGTGGAGGACCCTTCAGGAGGGTGAGGGAGGCCATCCCATGCCCACAGGACCTTGGACCCATTTTTAGGGGATGCTGTCCCAATACTGGGAGGGTGTGTGGCCTAGGATGCAGGGGCAGGGGGTGGTGGTCCCGTCATCCCCAGCAGGTCAAAGCCCTCCCTAAGCCTCAGTTTCCCATAAAGCGACCCTTAACTCCAGCCTTGCTTCTTCAGGGAACTCTGAGGAGGGACAAGGACATGTCTGAGAAGACTGCTTTGCACAAAGTGGCAGGAAGCGTGGATGTCCCCTTCCCTTTCTAGAAGAAGCCCTGGGCAGGCTTGACAGCGCAGAATGCTCCCCCAGTTCCTCCTGGTTTTGTGAGCCTCTTCCACCACAGGGGAGAGGGGAGCCGTGAACAGATTGCAGCTCAGCCCTCTTCTCCGAGGCCCACGATTCCACTCAGGCCGCCACTGGCCATCTCCTCACAGACCTCCCTCCACCAGGCTCATTCAGACAGGCTGCATCGCAGGCACGGAGCCAGCCACCGTGGCCCAGCCCCGCTCACATGGCCTTTGGGAGGCTCTGGGGACACTCGAGAAGGCAGATGCAATCGTCCTGAGCTTCTCACGGTGGCCACAATGTGCAGTGGAGACAGCACTCAGCAAGTGCCCATTCAGGCTCAGCCCTGGGGACCTGGGAGGTGCCTGACGGGATCAGGTCCACCCAGTACAGCAGGACTGTGGCATGGAGCTGGGACACCAAATGGGCAGCCCAGACCAGGAGGGTGTGGATACTCCGGGTGGGGCTGGAGCTCTCCTGAATGACTGGGGCCAGGACAGACAGTAGCACAGAGATTTCAGGAGCTCAACAACTGAGCAGGGGCTTTCTCAGAGCCTCCCTCCAACGGCCCTGGTCCCTTGTATGGATAGAACAATGGACCTTGGGGTTCAGCAACCTCTGAAATGAGCTGCAGATGATTTAGGATGAAGGGTTCAAAAAGCATGGATGTATGGTAATTCAATTTGGGCATTCATCACCATCATCATCATCACTCTTTCACTACTGTTCTGGGTCTAACCATCACTGTCATCACCACTGCCATTACCCTGCCACAACCATCACCACCTCCTCCACCATGATTACCACCACCATCATCACCAGCACTACCATCACACCACCACCTCCTCCACCATTATCACCATCACCACCATCACCATCACCATCACCACTACCACCACCACCTGAATCACCACCATCACCACTACCACCACCACCATTACTATCCCCACCATCACCACTGCTACTACCCCCTCCTCCATTATTCCAACCACCACCATGCCCTTCATCATATTTTCCATTTTCCTTTGGCCACACAAGCAAGAGGGTAAAGCTGCCCATGGGTGCCTCTTTCTATTCACTGTCTGCTCCCCCTGTGTCCATGTTCATGACCACAATCAATGAGATCACTCCACGCTTGATCCTATGAGGCTGACTGTACGTTCTGATCTGTCTAAACGGTCCCAGTTCAGGCCTGCTTGGTTAGCAATGGTCTCATCTCCTAGATTGCATGCTACACTCTAGTTAAGAACAATCCAGCTTCTGATGGACCCCACAGGGCCAGCAGTGTAACGATGYTAACCCAGAAGAGAGGGCTTCATTCCAGGACATACAGAGGTCCACCCCACAGTGACTGGTATCTAACGATGTCCCTGCCTCCCCAACCCCCTTCTAGGAAACCACTGAGAAAAGATGAAAATGGCACCAGCATTGCCGAGTACCCCATGAGCTCCTCCCAGAGCAACAAAGGGGTGGACGTGAACAGTGCGGTGGTGTGAGTCTACCCCCAGGCCCAGACCCGATGGCCACAGGGACACCTTGGTGGTACTAGTGGACATGGGAAGCCAAGTGGACACAAGCTGACTCCAGCTTGCCCAGGACTCCATTGTCTTGTAGGCTTCGGGCCTTCTGAGGAGAACCCACCCTCTTCCCAGGCCAGCCCCGGCCAGCCCTCAGGCAGGGGCTGCATGGACATCAAGCTGAGCCTGGCCCCTGCATGCAGCGCTGGGGCAGCGTCACACCTGAGGCTTCCACCTCCTCCTCATCTTATATTTGGTCCCCTGACTGTCCCCCAGCTGCTACCTGAAGCACGCACTCTGAGGAAGACAGAGGGTCTGCCTGCTGGCCTGGGGAGGTGCCCCCTCTTTAGCCAAAAGAGAAGTGATCCAAAGCCCGCCCCAGGCCCCGAACCCCTCCTCCAGGAAGCCCACCTGCTTCTCTGTGAACATCCCAACAGAAGCCATCGACACAGCCATGATACAGACKTCCCCTTTCAACGGTGCTTCCCACCCATCTGTCCTTACCCCCCTTCTATCGTCTTCAGTCTTCCCGGCCTGCTCCACCCTCTGTCCCCAGCCACACCTGGGTCCCGAGGTCCTGTCTGCCTGCCATGGGGTGGTGAGCCCCACCTGCAGATCCCCTAGAAGCAGCCAGAGGGGCTCGTCCACTCTGAGGCGGTGTGTCCCAGGAGCCTAGGCCAGGCCACGGCCACGGCCCCTGCACCTGCTCCCAGCCCCACACCTGGTCCCACAGGAACGAGCCCCCGTGTGAGCCAGGCCTTGCTGCAGAGGCAGAACCACCACACATGCAGATCCTCTGTGTCCCCCAGAGTCTCCCAAGGCCTGACCATGGCACCCAGACCCTCTCCTGAGAGTCCCCAGAAAGAGGTGTTTCTGCCCAGTTTCTCCCTGTGAATGTCTTCTCTGGGTCCCGTCCTCCGAGAGTCTCGAACCCTCCTGAGGGTGGGAAGGGAAAGGAGGGACCCTCCAGGCTCAGGGAACCCCCAGCCCTGCCAGCTGTTTCCAAGATGGTCACCTGCCCTAGGGGGCTCATTGCTGCGTCCTGGGAGGCCTGGAGATTGTGCATCCCTTGACGGTTAGGAGAGCACTGTGACCCCATGGCTCCCTGCGTCACCCCCACACTTGCTCAGAAACTACTGGCCATGTTCAATGGCAGCACCCACTGGCCTCGTAGGGATTAACTGGTTGCACCTGCTTTGCCACCTAAGTCACCACTGAGCTTCTCTGGCCAGTGTTTGGGCTGCAGGTGAGACTTTCAAATCCAGGTAAGACTGTCAGCCGTGAAAATCAGCCCCCATTTGGGCTGAAATGTCATTGTCCTGGAGCCCATGTGCCGCTGGAGCCRTGAGCCACTCTCCTGCCCCAGGCTGATGGGCACAGCCCTGGGCATGCCCTCCCATGGGGGCCTTGTCTTCCTTCCCTCTCTTGGCTTGAGGACTTGGCTTGGGTTTGGACCTGGATCTTGCTTCCCCAGCACCTAGGCATTGGCACAGGGCTGCCTGTGGCCTTCATGCTGGCTGCCCCTGTGCAGCACTCTAGGGACACAGTACTTGGTGACAAGCAGGCCAGAGGAATAGGGGTAGGGAAGGTGAGAATGCAGCAGATCCCCCAGGGCACATCCCCATGGCCTGCACCTCCTGTGGTATGCAAGCCACCGGTGTCCTGAACAGATGCCTGGGGAGATGCCCTAAACTCATGCCACCTGGCCCCGCGMTACTCAGAAGCTCCAGAGCCATGGGAGGTACCTTCAGCTGGAGGGAGGCCTGTGGCTACAGGGTCCTGGAAGGCTGGACCAGACCCAGGGAGGTTCAGCATGGTGCAGCTTTCCATGCCCACCAGGTACCACTGTCCCCAACTTTGGCTCAGGCCTAGCCCAAATTTGACCTTTGGCCTACAGGAACCGTGACTGAGCTGTCTGTTGTGCTTTGGCCTCTGAGACATCCAGGGCTTGGGTTGGCACGTGAACCCCCTCACCTTTGCTTGTGAAATCCCTTCTTGCCCAGGGAGAGAAAACCCAGGAGGAGCCCCCCTTGTCAAAAGGGTTCACTGGAGAGCAGCCCCCCACCCAGGGCTGGCCATTCAGAGGATACACAATGCAGAGAGTGAGGCCACCAGAAATTTAGCCCTAAGACCAAAGGGCATGTGAGCTCAGGACGTTTTGCTTTAAAATGGATCTGTGGTGCTCAATGCAGGCCCATCCTCAGATGAGGCCGGGCTCAGAGGCCAAGGAGGAAACGCATGCTCCTGAGCATTTTCTCAGATGTCTTCAGCCATCTTGATGGGGAGAAAACCAATGGCATTTAGGATCTGCCGGAGTCATCAGGTGTTCCTAGAAGCTTCTAGAGGAAGTTTGGGAAGAAAGACTAATAGGTGTAAAAATATAGACATATATATTATAGTTATATATATTTAAAGAGATATCTATACATATATATATATATATATATATAATTACTATGCTCAGCATCTGTACAAAGTATGATCTAAGCAGCCCAGGTAGCATCAGACACGTAATGCATGAATGTAAATATCCTGAAACTGCCTTCTTAGCAACGTGCCGTGTGTACAGGGGAAAAGACCTGTCCCTTGGGGTTCTGTCTCAACGGACAGATGTACAAGTTGAAGCTGTCTTGTCCACCAACAAGCCATAATGTCAATTTCATGCTGAGGCTTCCGTATAGGAAGCGGGACCAGCAGCCTTGGGGTGGGGGGCACAGTAAGCTGCTTATGAGGAAGGAAGCACCGTGACTTTTTTATTTTCAATAAAAATATCCTTATAAAGATGGCTGTCGGTTGTCATCTGTAGTAGGCACTTGCTCCTGGGTGTGGGGTGGAAAGGAGAGGGCGGGCCAGGCAGAGGTTCTGCTCAAGCCCGGGGCTCCATGGTACAGTGTGTGTCTTATCTCTCTTTTATATCTTAACACCTGAGATCAATATTCTGGGATAAAATCAGAAAGGTTCTAGGCAAATGGAAGAAGCTGGTCACCCCAACTTGGCAAGTGCTCATGGGAATCACCGAGAGCAGGAGTTGACTGGCTACACTGGGGAGCCAGGAGTCAATCTGCAGCTAGTGTCCACCTCCCAGTGTGTCCATTCCTGTGCCCAATTGTCAGTGCCCCACAGTGTCCCCAGCCACCTTGTTGCATGGAGTCATGGCCTGCCCCGTCCCACCAAGCAGAGGGGCCAAGACAGCATGGTCCCCATGCTTGCCCACCACTGGAGCATGACCCTCTGTGGGCGCCCCCCAGCCTCACCACCAGGAAGCCCCACTTCCAGCACTGCTCAGGAAAGCAGCTCTGCTTGGATGGGCCCCAGCAGCCGGGACGCGGGAAGGCAGAGGAAACCGGAGTTGTGCCACTTTGTCCTTCCTGTTGGTAAGTGAGGCGGCGGGTCAGAGTGGAAAGGGAGCACTTAGATTCCAGTGAACGGGTGGGCTGTGTGCAACCCGAACCTTTAGCCCGACCCTCTATACTTGAGGGGACCCCAACCTAGATCGTGTCACCACAGTTGGGGCTCCACTGGGCTCCTCTATCCCCACCTGGGTTCCCCACAGCATCAGTTAGTGACTTGGAAAAGGCCTTCYTGCCTGGAGTGGGGGAAAGATCTCTCCCCATCTTGGCCACAGCCCTGGGGTGGTCAGGGCAGGGACTCGGGAAGGGCCCGCATTCTGGGCATCAGGGATGTGAGGGGAGTCTTGGAGCTTCTCACTAGAGCCCCGAGGCACCTCTCAGTAGTGTCCCCAGCACACCTGGATCTGTGAGGTGTATGCACACAGTGGAAGTAGTTTGTGCCATCCAGGCTGGAGTGACAACTGCTGTCCCCTGACCACCTACATGGGCCATGCTTTGGTGCCGTGAGGGCCAGTGGGACACTCAGGCCTCACACACAGTCCTATGCACCCAGAGCCCACTCAGAGGCCGGCAGGGTGGAGGCAGGGAGCTGTGGGGGGAGGGCAAGGCTCTGCCAGCCTGGGAGGGAGGAGGGGCTGGCCTGGGGTGCCCCAGCACCAGCTCCCCAGGGCCACTTCTCTGATGCTCAGTTCAGCCAACWACATGCCCCCTGCCTTCTCTGGGGCCCTGCTGCCATAGCAAAGCAGGAGACCCAGCAGGACCCACAGGGCAACCTGCCTGCCACCTGGAGCAAGGTGGGATCCCTATCTTGAACCCCGGGGGCCGTGCAGGGACGCTCCTCCTCCTTCCCACAGGACAGAGACCTGYGAGGCTGGGAGAGCCGAGTGGCTGGACGCCAGCCGGCTGTCAGCTCACTGGTGTAGCTTCGCGTGGCCTCACCTTTTTTTGGGTGCTGATCCCACCCAGCTAGTGACCCATCCTGCTGGGGCACCCACATCTTCTCCTCCCCCATTCCCCACGCTGCCCCCTCCTGGCACCAGGTGCCTTCCTGCCTCTTCCACAGCAGCTCTCAGAAAGAATCTGACCAAGCGCTCAAGCCCTGGTAGATGCCCTGTCTCCCTCCCCAGATGTGCCCAGCCAGGGCTCCCGGCCGGCCCGTCTGCTATGCAAGTCGCCACCTCTCTCTCCGACCTCTGCGATGGAGCAGGCACTCTCCACACCTCTGCCCCTGCTCCCCAGGCTCTCCTGTCCCCTGGGCCAGTGTCCTCAGGCATCTGGTGTCAGCTCTCCTTTATTTGTTCCTTCATTCATTCATTCAGTTCCCAACAYGGAGGATCTGCTCCCGCCAGGTGACACATGGGACACTGGGATTCAGCTCTCCCAGCAGAGGCCTCAGCTGGAAACTGCAGAGGTTCAGCTCCTCAGAGCAGCTCATCCCGCCTTGGCCTCCAATCTGCCTCCAGGCACCCTTCCACCCACCCAGCCCCTCTAGCAACACCCACCGACTTCCAGTCCCCTGTCCACCTGCCCCAGGTTTCTCCTCTCCCCACTGGATCACTGTCTGCCCTCCTGAACTCCCTCAAGCACCCCCATTGGCTGTGGTAGACCCATCTCTTCCACCATCTTGGTCTGGCTGCTCTAGGGCCTCCCCAGTCCCATCCCTGTCATAAGCCCCATAATCCGGTCAGCCTCCTCTGCACCCTATGCCCACTCCCTGGTTGGGTTTTGCTGGGTTTTGCAGTCCCTGACCAGTTTGCCCCTCCAATCTGGGTGGCCACATCACATCTGCTGCCCAGGTCCCTCTACAGGCTGTCTCCACCCTGAGCACCCGGCACACACACCCACACATGCACAGAGCTGGAGTCACTCCCCCTGGGGTGGCACAGTCTTGCACACACAGCTTTCGTGTTCGGCCCTCTCCTGTGGGTGTTCCCTGTTGCCTCCCCTACCCCGTCCCGCCGCMGTGAACCTGCCAGCACGAGACCCTCTGTCAGCTGATACCCTAGGTGCTGATGGGGGACCTGTGCAGTGTCCTGGGGATACGGAGGGAAACAGGACAGGGCCTGCCCTTCAGGCACAGGGTGGGGGTGGTTATGGGTCTGCAATGTGTACAGAGACAGTGACAGCAGACAGAGGCCAAAGGGACACCCAGGCCAGCTCCTCAGCACATCTGTCTGTGCCTGACTTCTCTGAGCCTCCCTCAAGCCTCAGAGGCACAAAGTTCACCCTTATCTTACAGAGAGCAAGCAAAGGCCTAGCGACATGAGGGGCTGACAAGGACCAGCAAAGCAGCTGTGGCAGGGCCACATTTCAGGCCCAGCCCGGTGGCCACAGCTCAAGGTTTTTCAACCAGGATGGGCCCTCAGAGTTCAAAGGCTCCATTCCCTGCAGATGGGCACCCAAGTATCTTCCCAGCCGCAGGACGTGCAGTCAGGGATTCCTGGACCCAAGTGATCATTCTAGATGGAACTTCTGGCAAAGCTCCTCCYCTCTCAGAGCTTCAGTTTTCTCATCTGTAAAATGGGGCCATGGACTTGGCTCACTCTTGCCCTGATTTCTACCTTGAGTCTTTCTCTGGCCACCACTAGTCATTCTGTGTTCTGTCCCCTTAGTTTTTATCAGTATAGCACTTCCACCACCAAAGAATCATTGTCGGGCTGCTGCAAGCTTCTGGTCTTTCTCCCCCTGTTAGAATATACAGTGAAAGGGAACAGGAGCCTCCTCCAGTGTTTGGTCTTACTCATTACCAAATATCCAGCCTCCTGCAAACATCTAAGCATGCCTGGCACAGAATATTTGTTAACTTAAGTATAATTTAACACAGTATTCACAGGCATAAAGAAAAGAATGTAGCATTTTATTTCACAAAGCTATAGTCCCCACCTCCTTGGGGTGGGGTGTGGGTAGAAAAACCTGGATTTTCAAGCTGATGGTATTTTGGCTTCTTCCTGTCTCCCTAGTAGCTTCTGGATGACTAGGTTTCTTGTGGGTAGATGCTTAGTCTTGTGTCCCCTCCAGGAAGCACCCACCATGTGTCCCTGAGCAGGCATCTGTCCGTCTGGCACGGGGCAGCTGGCCTCAGGGCACATGGTGTCTTCCAAGTTCTCGCAGGTCCCTGCTTCTGGGGGCTGGCCTGGCTTGCTTCCTGCACAGGTGACAGTGGGCTGTGCCCCGACCCTTCTGGCCTTTTAGGATCTCTGGCGGGCCCCATGCTCTGGCTGAAAATGTCCAGCTCTGGAGGGTTCACCCTCCTGATTGTGGTCTTTGCCCATCTTCCTGTTCTCTCAGCACCAAATCCTTGGGGATTTCTGGCCTCTGCCCACCTGCACAGGCCAGTGGAGGGCTGTAGACACTGCTGTTTATGTGCCACTGTCCTCTGGGCCTCTGGGGTTCATTTCCGAATGAGCAATGCTACAGCGTCCTCAACCAGGAGGGAAGGGAAACACGCCCACCTGGCCTCCCGGCCCAGCCAGACACTTCGACACTTCTCTCCCTTCCCTTTTGCAACAATCCACTAGGGTCCAGAAGAAGTGGGCTCTGCACCCTCAACCTGACTGGCCAGAACTTTCCTCAATCCTCGCCTCTTCCTGCCCCACACTGTCCATGGAACAGAATGGGGCACACAGTATCCTGGAGAAGAATAAAAAACATATCCATTTATTATTTTCAAAATATTATCCCCATTACAAACACAATGATGTGCCCACACTGTGTGAAGTCCAAATGCCAACACAACGTGCCACACGGAGGAGGATTTCCCAGTTGCTCATTCAGACCCAGAAGCGTGGGGGGAGCCTTGAGTCACCGCACGAAGTGCAGCAGCGTGGGAATGCCACACGCGAAAGAACTGGAGCCAAGTGCCCATCGCAAGCTGTGATTCCATTTCAGCAAAACACAGCTGTCACATGCCATTGCAATTTGGAGAATAAATGGCTGCATGAAAGCAAGGCGAGGATCACGGAGCCGGGCCCACAGAGCAGGAGCGCTCCAGGAAGGCTGGCCCTGGCTCTGTCACCCCCACTCTG